GCTGTGAGATCAGGTTTCTTCTCAGCACACCAAATATGAAATTCATGCTAGGCCAAAGCCTGGGAAAAGGAAGCTTGTGGAAAGATACCACGAATAAAGATTTTTCCCAGGTAGAAAGACGATGTGTAAAAGGAAGCTCTTGAGAAGTGTTCCAGTTCAGTGTGCTGGAAAATACAGGTCCCATTTTGTTCAGAATCAAAAGCAGTCCTGTTAAATGACTGGAACTGCTCTGGGGTTTAGTTGTTTTGTGCTATCTCATTCTTCTATATATACTTCTGCTTCATCTGGGTGCCCAGTTCAACTTCTGTCTGATTTGGTGCTTGTGTCTGCTTGATGAGGCAGCCACTGTCTCATTTGTTACTTATCTGTAAGTTGCCTACCCAGCTGGGGTTAAATCTTCACTGAGAGCATGATTTTTTTAAAACAGAAAAAAAGCTCTGCTGCGAATCTATAAAATGCAGAGTAAGATGGATCTCAGATAACAAAGCTTCAAATGTGATTACATTATTTCATGAGGTTTTATTTGTTTGATTCTCCAGGAAGTAAAATTTTAAGTTCAACTCCAAGAGGCTTTGTAAAAGCTAGTTTGAGCTGAGTCTTTGGATGCGTTAACATTTATTCATGTTAAACAACATAGTCTGCAGCATGTGACAGCGACGGACCAATAACATTTTGCAAGATTAGTACATTAATGAATATTTATGGATATTGAACATGGGTACTGAATACTGAGCTATGTGTTCTAAACCAAAAATAATTCAAGACACTTTGCCAACTTCATGTGCAAATGGAATGCTAATATCAAATTCAAGTTGACAAATTAGTATTGAGCTGAATTCACAGCTGATCTATATAGTTTAAAATATTCATTCCATCCTCCTTTTAAACAAATTAAGGCACTGCTGGGTGGATTAACAGCTTTTCATCCTGGTTTTTAGCCATGGTCTCTGGCCAGGACTTGAGAGCATGAATGAAGTCTAGAATCTAGCTAAACTTTTCTGAATCCCAGAAAAAGGTTTAGTTTTATTTTGGCTTAAGGCTCAGACTAAATCACATTTTACTGGACTGGTTCACTCAACCTTACTATAAATCAGTTCTGGAGCAGTATACCACCGAGCATAAAGCACTCCTGGAGGTATAAATCAAGATGTGAACATTGTACCTGTGAGTATAAAACACTTTGAAACATATAAGTCAAGCTTGAAGACTCTGTCTCTGTGAAACGCTTGAAGAAATAAATGTTAGTGCCTAACCACTGGCTGCTTGAATATAAACACTGAGGTCATATATCTCACTTCTGTATGAATGTTTGAACACATGTATATATCAGTTTCCAGGTGAGGTCGGAATGCTGGCCTTGATGTTGTATGTTGAGCCAAGTGATGCCTGAATGCCATTCATCTATTCTCACGTTTGGATGTTGTCCTCCTTTCTCAGAACTGGGGTAAACAAATTAGGTATAGATGGGGAATTCCCTGGATGCTACAATGTAGGTTTGGGGCAAGTATTCTTTGTTGAGAGAACCCCAGCAGAGATTTAAAATCAAAAATATGCATCAAAGTCAAGTGTGGAAATGTAGACTATTATACCTTTAAAATATGCCTGTGTGAGTTCCTTCTAAAGTTCCCCATTTTCCCTAGCATAGAAAAGACCACACATTTGGTAAGTTAAAAATGGTTTACTTACAAACTCTCCAAAGGTCAGGTTTATGTGCTTTTTACAACATCAGTCAGAAAACATGGGCAGTAAAACTTGGCTTAGTTACTGTGGTGAAAGTTCCTAAATTATTGGCATAGGAACTTAATGAAGGCTTGTTAGAGCCATGTGGTCTTAGCTTGGAGCAACCAGCTCAGACCTGTTTACATGCTGAGCTTCTGTGGTAGATTGAGGTACAACAATAGGCTTGATTAGTTTCCTCCTAAGGTGAGTGGAACTGCCTGGCAGGGCAGTTTACTCCATGACATTTACCCCTTCATACGTTAATTAGACTTAAGCATGTTAATTATTATTATTATTATTATTATTGGGTTTCCCCAGCCACGCTGGGAGGCTTCCAACAAAAGATTAAAATACAATAGTCCTTCAGATATTAAAAGCTTCCCTAAACAGGGCTGGCTTCAGATGTCATTAAAAGAAAATGTTGGTTATATGAGGCTTTTTCTTCACAACAACCCTGTGAAGTAGGTGAGGCTGAGATATAGTGCCTGGCCCAAGGCCACCCAGTGAGCTTCATGGGCCAGTCAGCTGAGCAGGGATTTGAATTCAGATCTCTTCAGTCTTTTGGTATGATCGAGCAGGACATTTCTTACACTCTTTTTTTTTTTGGCAAAGTCACTTAAATAACAGTGTCCAAAAAGAAAATGAATTCTGATAACAATTTATTGAGCAAACTGAACAAATAGGGCACACTTTGAGCAGAAAGGAACAGGGAGATTGTCTTTCTTTCTTCAGGCCTTAAACACAGTAGGAAGACATTCAACTAAGCATTCAGAAAAAAACTCCCTCAGAACTACATAGCCAATCAAAGCATGTGCTACCTATGCAAACGTCATGCAATTCTACTTGGTTGCTAAGCAACACCTCCACCCACCCACCTCTTGGATATCTGACTTTAACATTAACAGAATTAACCTATTCAGTTGCACACTGAATGATCCCTGTTGTTGCACTTTCAGCACTTGTGAACTGATTGTCTGCTGTGGGAAGCAAAATCCTCTTACTAGATGTGACTCTTGTTTGATCCACTAAGGGGCCTTATGTTCTTAAATTCCTGTTTTAAAAATTTAGTTCATCAGAAGTTTCAAGCAATTATCTCTTACCTGCAGCTTTAGAAATACAGCTTCTTTTCTTTTTCTCACCCAAGAACTTCCTTTGTTTGATTTCTCATTTTCTGTTCATACTACTCCTTTCGTTGTCTCTTAATCTCAACAGTGACCTCACATCCTACAAGTAAATGTCAAATTGTAATAACTTCTCCACTTTGTACCAGAAACGTGATCAAGCTCCTATTTTTGGAAAAATCTCATTAGCGAGAGTACATCTCTTTTTAATTGCTCCACTGAACTCTTTGTGCCCTGTAGGGATATCTTCACACCCATTGCTCACTGCATTGTCATGTTGCATAGTTTTCACTTCTGACTCATCTAAACTCTGTTTGCAACAAGCTTCTCCCAGAGAAGCTAGGCCACATTCTTCAAAAGGACAAAATCACAATGTCTCCGTGTAGTGGTAGAAAGTAGCCGCATTTTCTGTAGGCAAAATGGCTTAGTGGTGCAGAAACTTGCTACTGCTTATACAGTGGTACCTCAGAACTCAAATGGCTCCATTCTTGAACGTTTTGGCTCCCGAATGCTGAAAACCTGGAAGTAAGTACTCCAATTTTCAAACGTTTCTCAGAACACAAATGTCTGACATGGCTTCCGCTATGCAAAAACCTAGCTGTCGGCCAATCAGAAGCCACGCCTCGGAACTCGAAATGTTTTGGAAGTCGAACGGTCTTCCATAATGGATTATGTTCGAGTTCCAAGGTACCACTGTATATTTCTTTTCTTGTTTAGAGGCATTTTTTGCAGGTAGATGGCATTTGTGATATTAGAATATATGCAGGTGAATGAGCCCTAGATAGTCCACTAATTAAAGACCAACTATCGCCTTTCCTGGAAAACTGGACCTTGCCACAATCATTCATGCCCAAGTCATCTTCATATTTGACCTCTGTAACTTGCTCTCCATTGACTCTGCCCTTGCAAAGTGCTTAGAAATTACAATTATTACAACAATCTGCAACCAAGTTGCTGGCATGGTTTTGCACAACATGCACAGTCTGCCATTTTGTTTCTGGGCTCACTTCAAGGTTTTGGTGTTAGGTTTCAGACCTAGGTTCCTTAGGGACCACTTTTCCCCATATGTTCCTCCCTGCATGCTCCAGCCATCATCTCTGGCCCTGCTCCAGATCCCTTGATCTTGCAAAGCACAGCTGATGTGGACACCACATCAAAAATAACAGTACTATTTTTCTGGAAAAAGAGGTGCCGGAACTCGCTATGAACGCCTCCCTTGTTCTCTTAAAATGGCAATGGCGCCCACCTGAGGGGTGCTGAAAGTGAGTTCCGGTGGGGGGGGGGAAAGGCCTGGCTGTAGGGTTTCAGGTGACTGATAGAGAATCCTCCTCCACAAAAGGAAGTCTTCCCAAAATATTGCTCTATAACAATTGAAATGGTAAACATGTCAAGAAACTCAAATGCTTCTATACTAGTCCTTAGGGAGCAGATTTTCCCGCCTTTAAAAATTCATATTCTTTTCAACTCCCCCTTGCCATCTTGTTCCAAAAAGTATTCAGCACTATACAAAGTTGATCCAAGCTCAGTGGAAATTTATGATTAATGTCATCTTGCATTTATAGGCTGAGGTGTATTCAGGCTGCATAGGTTAATTCAGATTAGCTCAATGCTCCTGCCACCGCTGTTCACAACCAGGTAAATCTAATTCAAGTGGTACCTTATAAAACCACTCAGGCATAAAACCCAGCCCTCACATCAAAAATTTGTAAAAGCCTGTGGCAAAAAGTAGCCTCAAGAAACCTTTACACACATACACTCCAGTATAGTACACGAATAGAAGTAATAAGACCTTTGATATATTTTTATATCTTGCCTTACCACCTTCCATCATGGAAGAAAATACAAAAGATCCAGGAGTGATTTTAAGCAGTATTAATCTGCAAGAGGATACAGGACCAAAGGAGGGGGTTTGATGACTGAGTTGGGCTCAGTTGTGCCACCAAGTGTGTTCCCCAACACCTTGGCTCCAAAAGGCTTTATTATCTTCTCTCTCTCTCTCTGCTACTCCTTCAGTCCTACATTATCCATCCATTATTTTGTCTCATGCACACTACCCCTTCATTTGCACAAGTGCCCATTTGTGAACTCTATCACTCGTATATACAAGGCTGCGCCACATCCATGTATCCTGCATCTATCCTTGCATTCCCTTTCTCTTACATACACACACACACACACACACACACACACACACACACACACACAATCCACAGAAATATGTGCCCTGTTTGTCTAACATAAGGGTAGCCAACAGGATGCATTCCAGATGTTGTTTAATTTAATGTGTGTGTGTGTGTGTGTGTGTATATGTATGTGTGTGTGTGTATACACACACACACACACACACACACACACACACACACACCCCCTGCACATCTGGCTCGGTTGCCTCAGCCACTCTGGGCAGCTTCCAACACACATAGAAACGTAATAAAAAAAACCAAACATTAAGAACAAAAAAAAACCCACCTCTCATAATCCCTGACCATTGACCATGCCAGCTGTGATTGATGGGAGCTGTAGTCCAACCGCATCTGGAGAGGGCACCATGTTGGGTAGCCCTGATCTAACATCTGTCAGCTACCCTCTCTGTCATTCATTCTTTCACATTAACTGGCAGTGAACTAAACTAACACACACTCTTTCTCTCTCACCCACACACCCCAGGGCACAGTGAGTACAGGAAACAGTACACAGCATGGGGGCTAGAGTGGCGTAGCATCCTTAGGAACTACCTTCTGAGGCAAACCACAGAGAGCGGCACTCAGATCATGTTTTAAAAGGCTGCTGCGTTGCTCTAGCTGCTGCGCTTTCTGGCTGGGCCTGCCAATCTCTTTCTCTTTTTTTCCTCCTTATCTTACAATTTCCCAAAGAGGGGGTGGGGAACACAGGGGATGGTCTACTGCTTAAGTTCTCTGTGGTTTTCTCTATACGTTGCAGTACAGATCATGACAGAGCCTGTGCAATCAGTAGGGTGGGCTTTTGATCCACCTACATGTTTACATTCTAATTTTTGAAAGAGATGGATGGCTCTGCCTCACACTGGCCTGTCACAGGATGCTGCTGAACCTTTTGTCAGCAGCAGCTAAGCAAATCTATAGGATCAGGCTCTTAGACCCCAGGGAAGCACTGAAGGGAACCATCTTAAGTGGTGTGATTTATCTGCTTTACACTATTCATAGCCCTCATTTTAAAGGACAGCTTCCTGATTGTTATTGACTGCTTCAGGATACAGGCAGCCTACTAGGGATGCATGTAGAAAAATGGCACTTTCAGTGCTGACTCTTCTTCAGTTTGATGGGTGAATCCAAGCCCCTGGTGTTAATCATATTATTGACTACTTTTAACTTTAATAATTATCTGCGTTGGTGTGTTTGAGTCAGCAGCACTCAGGCGATAAATAATTAAAAGAGAGAGAGAATAAGAAAAAGATACAATTGATTTTCATATGTATGACTAAATTCCCTCCTGTGCTTAAATTTCTTCCTCTGATAATAAAACAGCCATGGTGCTTTTCTTCTAATTTTCTTTGAATGAAGATGGCTTCATCAGGATGTTTCAGGCTAAATCAAGCCCCCTCTGCTCAGTTTACCTTGGGGATTTGTTTAATCACTGGAGCATTTCAGGTGCCTACAGAGCAAAGGAAAAGGCATAATGTAATCTCTTCCCAGGCACCATTTAATGTTTGTGTGTGTGCTTGTGTGTGTGCTAGATTTAAAAGGCCCGCTATGGAAGGATATAGAACAATGCATAAAGTCGAACCACCAATATTTCAATATCACGTACTGGTTATGGCTGTATCATCATTAGTAGGGATGGAGGAGAAATTTGATTCAGTTTGCATTTAAAGACACTCCTACCCAATTCATACTTTCCAAAACGATACGTGGACAGAAACACACCGATCCTTCAAAATTCGCACATATCTGAATTTTGCAATGCAGTTCTTCAGTAAAAAAGGCACATATTAGGGCCAATCATTTATATACCACTTAAAAGTTTGTCTGTTTACAGTCAAGCAGTATATAATTTTTGTAAAATAAAATGTGTTAATATCAGTGAAAATAACAAAAATGCAATGTAAGAAAATGACTTTGCAAAAACATATATTAGGCAAAATTATCAACACAATTGTGTATATTAGAAGAAATTCGCGTAAGTGATGATTTTTCATGATGACTTTTTATGAAAACGTTGTTGTTAATTTATTTATATACCACCCTTCATTCAAAGATGCCAGGGTGGCAACAGAAAACCAAAACGAGAATACAAAATGCATAATAAAATAAAAACAAACCAATAACCCCCCTCTACCCAAATACATCCAAAAAGCCATAGAATGTTAATCAGCTGAATGCCTGGTTGAAGTGAAATGTTTTTGCCTGGAACCTCCCTGGGGAAAGCATTCCACAAATGGGGAGTCACCACAGAAAAGGCTCATTCTTGTGTTACCACCCTCCAGACCTTTCATGGAGGAGGCAAAGAAAGAAGGGCTTCAGGTGATTATTTCAGGATCAGGGTTGGTTCGTATGGGAAGAGCTGGTCCTTGAGGTATTGTGGTCCTGAGCCATTTGTGAAAACATTCACAAACTGATGTGGAAATCTGAAGAACTGAACATCAGATTGGAAAGATGAGAAAACTGGGAGGAAATGAAATGGACAGATTCTCCCATCCCTTACACCAGATATTTACTTTATAAAGGCCCATGCGCTGACCAACACCAGCAACATAATAAATAGTAGCCCCGTATCTCTAGTTAGGCTTAAAGGACTCCTTTGCTTTGTCACATCAGGAGTTTGTCAAAGTAGGATACTTATAAAGTGTGTGAGACATGAGTCACGTTTAGCAGGGAATACTGAAGCTGGTGATTTGTTTTTTATCCATTGTTCATCAGTGGCTGTATCCTTCAATAGCTGGCTCTTTAAATTAAAAACAAACTTGGTTCTCTTAGTTGGTACCTGGTGCTGGGGGTGGTATGGAATGTCATTCTATATTTTTTTCCAGGCACACATCCAACTTCTTTTCTGTCTCTTGCTTTGGAGCAGTATTAAATATCTGATGCAAACTCTGGATTCAGCAAATGTAATGATTTTGAAAGGAACTCTTCAAATATAAGAGAACTTGAAATAGTGTCATAGGAGTCCACCCACCCACCCACCCACACTTAAAAAATGATGAATATGTAGCTGAGGAATCTGTGGCTCTCCGGATATTGTTTGACTCCCATCAGCATGACCAATGTTAGAGATGATGGGAGTTGCATTCCAGCAACCTCTAGAGGACACTGTGTTGGCAAAGGTAAAGGGACTCCTGACCATTAGGTCCAGTTGTGGCTGACTTTGGGGTTGCGGCGCTCATCTCACTTTATTCACCGAGGGAGCTGGCATACAGCTTCTGGGTCATGTGGCCAACATGACTAAGCTGCTTCTGGCGAACCAGAGCAGCGCACAGAAACGCCGTTTACCTTCCCGCCGGAGTGGTGCCCATTTATCTACTTGCACTTTGACATGCTTTCAAATTGCTAGGTTGGCAGGAGTTGGGACTGAGCAACAGGAGCTCACCCCGTCGTGGGAATTCAAACTGCCGACCTTCTGATTGGCAAGTCCTAGGCTCTGGCTTAACCCACAGCGCCACCCGTGTCCCTCACCGTGTTGGCTACTCCTGTGTTAATTAATACTGTGCAAAAAAAAATTGAGCAGAAGTAAGCAAATAATATTAGCACTGGTTTATATATTAAAAGGTGGCAATCCAAAGTTCATCAGTATGATTCAAAATAGTGCAAATATTGGGCTGGACCCAGACTAAGTTAGTTGAGCTTCATTCTTACTGAAATCAATGGTACTTGTCCCATTGGTTTTTTGGGGGTGGGGGCTAAATTCAACTAACCTCGTCTGGATCCAACCCATTAGAGATACAGGCAAATTTTGTTCAGGCTGAACTTAAAATAGTTTATATCTGTGAGTCAAAATGGTGTCATATATTTTTTTAATGTTATTCACACCTCTGTCTGAAACAGGGGACATTTTCTTAAGACCCATCCAAAGCAAAGTGATTTGGGTGCTTAAAAGAATGTAACATGGCTATGGAGGAAGCAAAAAGAGTGTCATTTTCCACACTCTTCAATAGGATATATACTGAGGTTGTTCAGGGGAATGAACCTGAGCTGTCTCAGTCCAAAGGCTGAGGTATTGCCTACTCAGTGTGACGAGTGTGTCAGGCAAAGCCTCTCATTAAAATTTGAGTGCTTCAATACAGTGTCAGATGAAATAATGGAGCATCAGCCGTAGGGTTGCCAGATTCACAGTTCAAGAACATTCATATGCCATTAAATTTCCGGGTGCAACTTAGGAGATGGCAACCATAGCTTCTCTAGACTATTGCCCTTTCTGGTTCTGTCCTCCCATGCCTCCTCACATCGAAGACAGGATGGTAAGGAATGGGGAGGGAGAAGGCAGAAGGAACCACAACTACCACCTCCTGCTTGCATTGGAAGATGATGAGTCAATTCTCTAGTTTTGCATCTAGCAACCCTGTTCAGGGTTGTTTTGGTTTCTGGGCCAATTCACATAAACTATTAATATTGAAAGAGGGCTTAGCAGCAGGCTTCAGCAGGATATATGCCATCACCCACCAACAGTGCCCTTCTGCCATCTCAATATGACAAACAGGTTAGTCTCTATGCAAATAAATAATATATAAATGGAAACAAATTTCAAAATGGCAACATAAAAAAACCAGAGGTGCAGCATTTCATTCTTCCAGTATGTTCTTCTGCTGCTCTGAAAGTGGTCAATTTTTCCCCACTTCAATAAAAGAACTTCAAATGAAGACTCTGGTAGGTAATTGTTGAAGTGGAATTTATTTGCTTAGGAAGAAGACCAAGGTTTTCTCTCCCAGTGAAGTTGCTAAACAACAACAGGGAAACTAAAAAGACCATTACCAGCAGTCATTGCCACTCTGAATGGTCACAGAGATCTTATTGTACATATACGATCTTGGCTTGCATTTATCTTTTCCGCTGCCATTTTAAATTGCTGTTTTAACCTGTGGTTTTATTCTGGATAGATCTTTTTTTATGTTGTATTTCTATTCTTTATGTCTTACTACTTTGTGTGAGCTGCCTTGTGTTGCATTTGTAAAAAAGCAGGGTATAAATATAATAGTAACAATGAAAATCATAGTGCTTTGCATGGACATGTCACAGGTTGTACTTTTTGTGGTTCATGGCCTTTTGGTGCCACGGCTTCTAGGTGAACTCTAGTTCACAAAAGTTGTGCCATCATAAATCTGCTAAGAACATACAAAGAACCTCTGGGATCAGCCCAATGGCCTGTCTCGTGGTGCATCCTGTTCTCACAGTGGCT